AAAAATAAAAAATAATATATATATATATATATATATATATATATAAATTATATAATTATATATACCAAAATTAAATAATATATAATAATAAATAATATTTTATATATATATATAATAATATATAAATATTATATATATATATATATATAATAATATATAAAAATATATAAAAAAGTAGTGCCAAATATGTAAAACTGGCCCAATTTTAGCAAGAACTCATTTAAAATTAATCCTTTCAAAAATTTTTATCTATACTTTAAAGAATTTTTTTATTAATGTTAAGAAAAAATTTTTAAATTTTGCCCCAAAAAGAATTTTTAAAGAAAACTTAACTAACCTTATTATAACGAGAAAAAATTTTTTTTAGCCTAACCTAACAAATACATTTCAATTTTTTTTACAAAAATTTTTTACTAAACAAACACAGTAAATATATTTTTTCGTAAGGTTTAAAATGTTTTTTGGCAAATTTATTGCATATACAAATTTTCACTTGTCCATAGGGCAAGATAGCGTTGCTATTTAGCCAAATCGCAAGTTCTGCCTATTCGGCACGACATATATATATAATATAATATATATGTCTGCCAATATTAAAACGGTCAAATAAAAGAACTCTTTTAAAATTAAGCCCTTCTGAAATTTTCTTTATACTTTAAAGAATATTTTTTTCATTAATGTGATTAAAAATTTATAATTTGCCCCAAAAAGGGAACTTGGAAAAACTAACCAAACCTTATTATAACAAAACATTTATTTTAGCCTAACCAACAAAAAAAATTTTTTAATTTTTTTACAGTAATTTAATATAAACAAACCCAATCAAATATATTTTTTTTCGTTGGGTTAAAAAGATTTTAGCGATATTTTTGCAACAAAAATTTTTTCCTTGCCCTTATATGGCATGATGGCGTTGCTTTTAAGCCAAGATCGCAAATTCGCTTATTCGGCACGAAATAAATAAAAATTTTAAAATTTTATTATATTAATAATATATATTTTAAATATTAAAATATAAATAAAATTAATAATATAAAATATACAATCATATATATATATATATTATATTCTTTCTTTCAACACCCGCCGACCCCCACCGGGGCGGGGGGGCCCAAAAGGAAAAAGGAAATTTCTCCTTTTACATTTAGTAAATATACAGGAGAAGAATTTCTAGCCCCTTCTCCCGCTTTTTATTGCCTCTTACAACCCATGGCTTACGAGGGAAAATTCTGTTCCCCTTCCCATGGAAAAGAGGAAAAAAAACAAAATAAGAAAAAAAGAAAATAGAAGAAAACCCCCAAGGGGGGTTAATATGTGCTTGACATGTATGTGTGTTGACCAATGTAAGTAAAGTAGCAAGACGTACCTGAAATCTTGCATGTTTATGAGACAGAAAAAAGGACACCAGCAATCCTACCATCATGTAAAACAATTACAGGCTTTCGTTTTACACTCACTTGGCAGGACGGTAGTACCTCCCTGGGCGGTTGCTGTCTACCAACCTACTACCTTGATATATATATATATATATATATATATATATATATATATATATATATATATATATATATATATATATAATTGGTGGTTCTTGGTAGCGGGTAGTAATAAGAAGGCTTCTACTTTATTTGCGGTATCTGGGTATACAGGCAGTGTGTTAAGTGCCCATGGCCTGGGAGGGCCATGCCCAGCGAGGGAGAGAGGGTAGACCTTGTTGACAGAGTGAAGGCCACTGAGTGAGTGAGAGGGAAGCAGGTCTCGGCATACTGAAGTGGCATAGGCCTATAGGTGGCAGCACAAGCCTGACACGAAATATAAACTCCTCTGGCAGACAGCATAGACAACTGCAGACAGTACAGGCTGTCTACAATATATATATAATATATATATATATATATATATATATATATATATATATATATATATATATATATATATATATATATATATATATATATATATATATATATATATATATATATATATATGTATATATATATATATAAAATATATATATATATATATATATATATATATAATATATAATATATATTATATATAATATATATATATATATATATATATATATATGTCGTGCCGAATATGTAAAACTGGTCAATTAGCAAGAACTCATTTAAAATAAAGTCCTTTCTGAAATTTTCTCTTATACGTTTAAAGACATTTTTTTTCATTTATGTTAATGTAAAAATTTTTAATTTTGCTCCAAAAGAATCTTAGAAAACTTACCTAACCTTATTATAACAAGAGCAATTTATTTTAGCCTAAAGCAACAAAATATATTTTAAATACGTTTACAGTAATTTAATACTAAACAAACACAATCAAATATATTTTTTTCCGTTAGGTTCAGAATGATTTTGGCGAAATTATTGCATACACAAATTTTCACTTGTCCTATATGGCAAGATGAGCGTTGCTATTTAAGCCAAGATCGCAAGTTCTGCCTATTCGGCACGACATATATATATATATATATATATATATATATATATATATATATATATATATATATATATATATATATATATGAGTGGCGTCCCTGGGACTCCACGCCACAGCACCCCCACTCTGTTTTTCAAGTCACGTGTTTTCAGCTCAGCACGGCTATTTCAGTAAGTCAGAGGAGAGTTTGTGGTGCTTTCGGCATCCAGTGTGGGTGTTTCTCCAAGTGGGTATGTGGGAGAGGAAGTGGCCAGGTTCCTCCCCTTACTCACACCTTACTTCGCCTACAACCACACTACACCACCCTGCAATCACTTCCTCTGCTGAGTTTTCTGCTGTTTTCCGTGTGAATTCATTGCCAGAGCTGTATATCCGAGTACCCAAGGCCACTCGAAGCCACGTGGATCACAAAGCCACATGGATCACCAAGCCATGTTTATCAGCAAGCCACATAGATCACAAAGCCAAGTGGTGCAAGCCACGTGGGGTGTGGACGATGCCATGTGGATCTACAAGCCACGTGGGTTACCAAGCCAGATGTCCCAAGCCACATGCTGTGGTCTGCTGCCGCATGACTCCACTGATATCACCTCAAGACGTCACCCACGGTGCTGCCCGACTTCACGACGTCACGATGTATCCCTGACGTCACCTCGAGATGTCACCCTATGACATCCCACATGACGTCACTCCAGGACGTCACCTCGCGACATCTGCTGACGTCACCTCGCGACGTCTGCTGACGTCACCTGGCGACGTCTGCTGACGTCACCTGGCGACGTCTTCTGACGTCACCACGCGATGCCACCCCATGACATCACCTCACGACGTCACACCTGATCGACAGTGTTAGTTTCACAGTGAGCAATATGTTGTTTTGTCGAGAAGACTGAAAGACAATATATGTCGTGTGTTAATTAAGTCCTCTCAGTCAGTGTTCTCACATGTTCGTGCATAGCTTAGTGTCGATTTTTACACAGAAAAGTGTCATTTGCTAGTATAAGCCATGTAGTACCACATGTGCAGTGCGGGTGTGTGCAGTTTTCCGTGTGTCTTGTGTGGTCTTGAGCCCAGACTACTGTGTAGCACCTCGTCTTACTTGTCACCCAGTGTGACCAGCACGTTTGACAGCTGATATTAGTCAGCCCTGAGCATCTGAGCCTCTTGTACAGAAAGCTCTTATTGTTCGCTGCTCATGATGCCCTGCAGAATCGTACCTGCTACGATTCCCATCGAAATTTGTTTCACTTCACCTCCAGACCGTCAGAGTGCTATAAAATGTAGACGAGTCTGGGGACGCTTAGACTAACCTCTGCTGTAACTCCAACTGTCAAGAGAATGACACTCGTCAAGCAGCAGTTAGCCCCTGTTGGCAGGCGATTGTCTGCCTCCTGTCATAGCTTCAGTGAGCAGCCTGCACAAAGATGATGTCACTTTGACTGCTAGTCCGCTCATTGCAGTACGGTGTATGATGTTACTACTCCCAGAAGTTTTGCCAAGATGTCTCTGCCACGACTCACTCCACGCTCGCCGGCAGTGACAGCCCCAGCGACAGTACCAGTTGAGAAATGTCCTCCTGAGTCGCTTGTCAGAAGAAGTCCTGCCCAGTTGCTGAATATTAACGACGCCTCACTCGAGGGCACCAGTAGGTTGTGCCCCAGGTTGAGTGAAACCTGCAGTGACTCCTACGATGACTGCTTCACCGTTCCAGAGGAAACCATATCCTGTTACTTCACAGCTCACCTGCAGTGATGTTTTCTGTGTTGTAGTATCTGTCCAGATGCAGGAAGGCATGCAGTGATGCCCCTTGACGCTCACTGCCTTAGACCACGATGTTTAGCACACCCCACCCATTTTTTTTCTTCCCTCCCTGTAAGAAGTTTTTTTTCCATACCCATGTATTTATATATATATATGTTTTTATTTTGTGTTGTGTGCCCTGTTCCGGCGAGAGAGAGCCCGAGTTTTTTTTACAGCCAGTCATGGTCAGGAGCGACCATGGTGGTGCGTGGCCGAGCAAATGTAGACAGTCTGTACTGTCTGCATAGACAGCCTATACTGCCTGCCAGCTGAGTTCATATTTTGTGCCATGCTTGTGCTGCCACTTCAGTATGTCCAGACCTGCCTCTCTCTCACTCACTCAGCGGCCTTCACTCAGTCAACAAGGCCTACACCCCCCTTCCTCGCTGGGCATGGCCCTCCCGGGCCATGGGCACTTAACACATTGCCTGTGTACTCAGATACGGCAAATAAAGTAAGAAGCCTCCGAAGCCTTATTATTACTCTCTGCTACCAAGAATCACCAATTAACCCATAATATTACATATATATATATATATATATAATATATATATATATATATATAATATATATATATATAATATATATATATATATATATATATATATATATATGTCGCGCCGAATATGTGAAACTGGTCAATTAGCAAGAACTCATTTAAAATTAAGTCTTTTTTGAAAATTTCTCTTATACGTTTAAAGATATATTTTTTTCATTAATGTTAATGTTAAAAATTTTCATTTTGCACCAAAAGAATTTTAGAAAACTTACCTAGCCTTATTGTAACAAGATCAATTTATTTTAGCCTTACCCAACTAAATATATTTTAAATACGTTAACAATAATTTAGTACTAAACAAACACAATCAAATATATTTTTTTTCGTTAGGTTCAGAATGATTTTGGAGAAATTATTGCATACACAAATTTTCGCTTGTCCTATATGGCAAGATGATCGTTGCTATTTAAGCCAAAATCGCAAGTTTTGCCTATTCGGCACGACATATACATATATTATATATACATACATATATATATATATATATATATATATATATATATATATATAATATATATTATATATATATATATATATATATATATATATGTCGTGCCGAATATGTAAAACTGGTCAATCAGCAAGAACTCATTTAAAATTAAATCCTTTCTAAATTTTTCTCTTATACGTTCAAAGATATAATTTTTTCATTAATGTTGATGTAAAAATTTATAATTTTGCGCCAAAAGGAACTTAGAAAACTTACCTAACCTTATTATAATAAGCGCAATTTATTTTAGCCTAACCCAACTAAATATATTTTAGATTTGTTTACAATAATTTAATACTAAACAAACACAGTGAAATATATTTTTTTCTTTAAGTTCAGAATGATTTTGGCGAAATTATTGCATACACAAATTTTCACTTGTCTTATATGGCAAGATGAGCGTTGCTATTTAAGCCAAGATCGCAAGTTCTGCCTATTCGGCACGACATATATATATATATATATAATATATATATATATATATATATATATATATATATATATATATATATATATATATATATAATTTATATATATATGTGTGTGTGTGTGTGTGTGTGTGTGTGTGTGTGTTGTGGTGTGTGTGTGTGTGTGTGTGTGTGTGTGTGTGTGTGTGTATTCAGTGATATTTTATATTCAAATAAATAATCATGCAAATATAATTCACAGGTTCGTTTGCGATTATGTGCCTAATGACAGGGAAAATCGTAAAGCAACTAGCTGTAATGCCTGAAGATCCAGAAGCACCTTATGATGATAACATTACCGACAGTTTCCTTACCATCGATGACAAGCAAACATATACTCCAGTCCAAGTGGCAGCAATCGTGGCACTAACGAATGGATTTGCTCAGGTATGATATATATAAAATATATTATTAGTATGTATAATATATATATATATATATATATATATATATATATATATATATATATATATATATATATATATATATGTCGTGCCGAATATGTAAAACTGGTCAATTAGCAAGAACTCATTTAAAATTAAGTCCTTTCTAAAATTTTCTCTTATACGTTTAAAGATATATTTTTTTCATTAATGTTAATGTAAAAATTTTTAATTTTGCACCAAAAGAATCTTAGAAAACTTACCTAACCTTATTATAGCAAGATAATTTTATTTTAACCTAACCCAACTAAATATATTTTAAATACGTTTACAATAATTTAGTACTAAACAAACACAATCAATTACATTTTTTTCGTTAGGTTCAGAATGATTTTGGCGATATTATTGCATACACAAATTTTCACTTGTCCTATATGGCAAGATGAACGTTGCTATTTAAGCCAAGCTCGCAAGTTCTGCCTATTCGGCACGACATATATATATATATGTATATGTAATATATATATATATATATTATATATATATATATATATATATATATATATATATATATATATATAATATATATATATATATATATATATATATATATATATATATATATAATATATATATATATATATAATATATATATATATATATATATATATATTATATATATGGGGCAGAAGTTTGTGGTTATAGGAGGGTGGGTGCAGGAGGAAAGAGGAGTAATTGGTGGAATAATGAAGTAAAGGGTGTGAGTAAAGAGAAAAATTTAGCTTATGAGAGGTTGAAGAGAGTGGTGAGAGAGTGCAAAAGGAGACCAGATGATAAAGTGGGAGAGGCACTGTCAAGGAATTTTAATGAAAACAAGAAAAAAATTTGGAGTTAAACAAGTTAAGAAAGCGTAGAGAATGAATGGATTTGTCAGTTAAAAACAGAGTAGGGGAGTTAGTAGACGGGGAGATGGAGGTTTTGGGTAGATGGCGAGAATATTTTGAGGAACTTTTAAATGTCGACGAAGAAAGGGAAGCGGTAATTTCATGCACTGAGTGAAGAAGAACAGGTTGTGAGTGTGGGGGAGGTGCGTGAGGCATTACGTAGAATGAAACGGGGTAAAGCAGCTGGAACTGACGGAATCATGATAGAAATGTTAAAAGCAGGGGGGATATAGTGTTGGAGTGGTTGGTATTTTTGTTTAATAAATGTATGAAAGAGGGGAAGGTACCTAGGGATTGGCAGAGAGCATGTATAGTCCCTTTATTTAAAGGGAAGGGGGACAAAAGAGATTGTAAAAATTATAGAGGAATAAGTTTACTGAGTATACCAGGAAAAGTGTACGGTAGGGTTATAATTGAAAGAATTAGAGGTAAGACAGAATGTAGGATTGCGGATGAGCAAGGAGGTTTTAGAGTGGGTAGGGGATGTGTAGATCAGGTGTTTACATTGAAGCATATATGTGAACAGTATTTAGATAAAGGTAGGGAAGTTTTCATTGCATCTATGGATTTAGAAAAGGCATATGATAGAGTGGATAGGGGAGCAATGTGGCAGATGTTGTAAGTATATGTAAAAGTAGGTCTTAGACAGGGATGTTTAATGTCACCACGGTTGTTTAATATATTTATTGATGGGGTTGTAAAAGAAGTAAATGCTAGGGTGTTCAGGAGAGGGGTGGGATTAAATTATGGGGAATTAAATACAAAATGGGAATTGGCACAGTTGCTTTTTGCTGATGATACTGTGCTTATGGGAGATTCTAAAGAAAAATTGCAAAGGTTAGTGGATGAGTTTGGGAGTGTGTGTGAAGGTAGAAAGTTGAAAGTGAACATAGAAAAGAGTAAGGTGATGAGGGTGTCAAATGATTTAGATAAAGAAAAATTGGATATTAAATTGGTGAAGGAGGAGTATGGAAGAAGTGAATGTTTTCAGATACTTGGAGAGTTGACGTGTCGGCGGATGGATTTATGAAGGATGAGGTTAATCACAGAATTGATGAGGGATAAAAGGTGAGCGGTGCGTTGAGGTATATGTGGAGACAAAAAAGTTATCTATGGAGGAAAAGAAGGGAATGTATGAAAATATAGTAGTACCAACACTCTTGTATGGGTGTGAAGCTTGGGTTGTGAATGCAGCAGCGAGGAGGCGGTTGGAGGCAGTGGAGATGTCCTGTCTAAGGGCAATGTGTGGTGTAAATATTATGCAGAAAATTCGGAGTGTGGAAATTAGGAGAAGGTGTGGAGTTAATAAAAGTATTAGTCAGAGGGTTGTTGAGGTGGTTTGGTTATTTAGAGAAAATGGATCAAAGTAGAATGACATGGAAAGCGTATAAATCTGTAGGGGAAGGAAGGCGGGGTAGGGGTCGTCCTCGAAAAGGTTGGAAGGAAGGGGTACGGGAGGTTTTGTGGGCGAGGGGCTTGGACTTCCAGCAGGCGTGCATGAGCGTGTTCGATAGGAGTGAATAGAGACGAATGGTAATTGGGACCTGATGATCTGTTGGAGTGTGAGCAGGGTAATATTTAGTGAAGGGATTCAGGGATTCAGGGAGGGGGGGGAGGGGGAGGGGGAGGGGAGGGGAGAGGGAGGGGGAGGGGGGGAGGGGGAGGGGTAGTGGGAGGGGTAACGATACACACCTCTTGCTGAACAAGCAGTCAACCAATACTATCACCACCACTACTCATTCATCCTTCCACTCTTATCTATTTCCCCCACAGTAGTCGTCGGGCAGAAAGGGGAAGTGATGGGGGAGAAAGAGACAGTGGTGGGGCAGCAAGGGGTAGTGGTGAGGGAGAAAGGGGCAGTGGGGAGGGAGAAAGGGGCAGTGGTGGAGCAGAAACGGGTAGTGGTGGGGAAGAAAGGGGCAGTGGTGGGGCAGAAAGGGGTAGTGGTGGGGGAGAAAGACTGTATATTGGCATGAGGACGAATAGAATGGAACAGACAAATAAATAAATAATAAATGCGATAAAGAGAGAATAAGAGAGAGATTAATAAAGGTATGCGAGAAACCTACCGTCCTGTTTACTACGAAAGAGACGAAGTTCTCCGTCTTGAGGTTCTCCCTAGTGAGGTTCTCCATCGTGAGGTTCTCCGTTGTGAGGTTCTCCGTCTTGAGGTTCTCCCTAGTGAGGTTCTCCATCGTGAAGTTCTCCATTGTGAGGTTCTCCGTCTTGAGGTTCTCCCTCGTGAGGTTCTCCATCGTGAGGTTCTCCGTCTTGAGCTTCTCCGTCTTGAGCTTCTCCCTCATGAGGTTCTCCATCGTGAGGTTCTCCATTGTGAGGTTCTCCGTCTTGAGGTTCTCCCTAGTGAGGTTCTCCATCGTGACGTTCTCCATCGTGAGGTTCTCCGTCGTTAAGTTCTCCATCATGAGGTTTTCCGTCTTGAATAAGTTTCTCCATCGTGAGGTTCTCCGTCGTAAGGTTCTCCCTTATACCCCCGGGGAACCATTTCACCTCAAAAAGGAGTTTCAAATGCCTTAGTTGCGTTTTTTTTCCGCTCTGTGTTTAGCGACAGTGGTCTGAAAAGACAAGAGGCTGGAACAAGAGAATGGAGTCTCAAATACGGTAGGCGAAACGTTTCAATAATAAAGAACTCAATTTTACAGTATTTCATACCATTTTCAGCATTCCCAATCAGTTTAGTGGCTGTTGAAGCTAAATTTGCTGAACATTTGCTGGACTTTCCTACCCCAGGATGCACGCTCGTTTGTACTTCGATAATGTTGAGCTCAGAGCATAAAGTTTCTTTGATTGTTATGTCTCTGATTAGTTCCTCTTACAACAAATCCAGTGTATTTTCAGTTTTAGTGGAATCAGTTATCTCTTGGTTCAGTGCAAACTTCTCACAAAGCCTCATTAGTTCCCTGGCATGTACCTGCTGAGCCAGAGTATTCCAGGAACCATTTCTGGTATAATGCTGTGATGAACAATACAGGGCGCGTGCGTGCGTACGTCAACAGTCTCAGTACTGGGTGTGTGTGTGTGTGTGTGTGTATTAAAAGTCACAATACAGTGTGTCAACAGTCACAGCACAGTGTGTGTGTCAACAGTCACAGTACAGTGTGTGTCAGAAGTCACAGTACAGTGTGTGTGTCAACAATCACAGTACAGTGTGTGTGTGTCAACAATCACAGTACAGTGTATGTGTGTCAACAGTCATAGTACAGTGTGTGTGTGTGTATGTGTGAGTGTGTTTGTGTGTGTGTGTGTGTGTGTGTGTGTGTGTGTGTGTGTGTGTGTGTGTGTGTGTGTGTGTGTGTGTCAACAGTCACAGTACAGTGTGTGTGTGTGTGTGTGTGTGCACTCACCTAGTTGAGGTTGCAGGGGTCGATTCCAAGCTCCTGGCCCCGCCTCTTTACTGGTCGCTACTAGGTCACTCTCCCTGAACCGTGAGCTTTATCATACCTCTGCTTAAAGCTATGTGTGGATCCTGCCTCCACTACATCGCTTCCCAAACTGTTCCACTTCCTGACTACTCTGTGGCTGGAGAAATACTTCCTAACATCCCTGTGATTCATCTGTGTCTTCAACTTCCAACTGTGTCCCCTTGTTGCTTAGTTAGTGTTGACGTGTACTAGCTCTGTGAAGACCTGTTTGCGCGCTCTCTACGAATTGAAGCAAGATGCCCTCCATCGAGCAACTTTACCAACAGCTTAAGGAAGAACTGAGGTTGGCGAAGGTGGAGATTCGGCGACTGACCGAGGAAAACAAGAAGATTCGTAGTAGTCCTCCTGTTTTGAGTCCTCAGGTCAAGAAGGGAAACTGGTCAGTGGCTGGACAGCAGGGAACGAAGTTGACGATCAAGAAGAAGAATGGAAAGGTAGAAACGATGAAGAAGAAAGAGACTGCCGTGGAAACTGTTGTGGAAACATCTAATACATTCTCAGTGCTACACGACGAATGTGAGTCGACTACTGGGAACATCACGACGAACGACACCAAGGAAGGTAAGAATATTGTTGTTGTTGGGGATAGCCAAGTTAGGTTAATGGATAGGGCGTTCTGC